CATGCAACTCTATGACCACAGTTCTTATAACCCCATTCTTCCTCTAATATAACTTCTTCCTTTGTGATTTTTTTCATATGTACTACATTTTTAAAGTGTCTTTTGCATTAAAGACCAATAAGGAGCCTACACCTCTCATATAGCCCTCACTTTTGTCACTGTTGGAACACCTGAGAATTACTAACCAACAATATTACAATTGCTAATACCCATGCCAATCCTTCATCAATATTTTGAAATTTGTACGACACTTTCCACCTATCAAAAAAAGTACAGGAAAGAGATCAGTAATAATTCTGCATAAATTTCAGTATCCCAAGCAGAGCTGATATAGATTTTCATAACTAGTGGCATCTCTTCCAGATGATGAGAATATAGCCCAGGAAACAGAGATTAGAACACTTGTCCATGTGCCATCTCTGGCACACCTGCATTAGAAAACCAACTCTGTTACACAGCACATTAGAGAAAACATACCTGTGACTTAAATATTTTAAAACTGTAAGCCTCCTTAAGAAGTTTCAATAATCAGCTAAAGGTCACACCCTAGTTTCATATATGAAACACAAAGAGGAATTCTACAAACATAAAAACATAAATACAGTTACCATTATCACTTATATAGATTATAGAAAAGTCTTGGATAAGTATATATTTTTACTATAACCTTTAAAATACCATCTGTTGGTCCTCCCTGGTGGTGCGACGGGTTAAACCACAGCACTATGAAGCTATCCTTAGCCACTGCAGCAGGAGTCCTATCCCGAAACAGGGAGGTGATCCACATGGCACAGCAGACCTCACCTGTCTCACCCACTGCTCCCCTCAGCATTGTAGTTCTGTCAATCTGCTGCCTGTTTTGCTCCCCACTCTGTCTTTGGTGAATCCTCTCACCCCCCCCATACCTGTGGCCTGTACCCCAATTCTTGTATGCATAAATAAATAAATGTTTTTTTAAAATACCATCTGTTTCTCTCAGTATTTTATCACTCACTGCTCTATGTTCATAGTTCCTTTTCATTAGAAATTTAATGCAGAGGAATATTTAAAAACAAGAGAAATGAGTCTACTTTAAATCACAGTCCTCTGTTACCTACAAAGACTAAAGAACATTTCCTCACTAACATTCAGTTGCATCATCAATAACTGCGCAACTATTACATGTTAAGCAGTACATCTTAATGCCATAGCTGTACATCACTGTACAAAAACTTTCTTTAGTAAACCTGTGATTCAGCGTTAAATGTATCTGTATTTTAAATTATCCTACATTATTTTTCCCTTTATTTGTACAACATTTTAATTATGTAAACAAATATGCTTTAATATGGTCAATGTAGGCAGAAGTCAAGTCTCATTCAGAAACTGAGTTCAGATTCTTGAAAGCAGTAGTTAAAACTCTTTAACTACTAAGTAGTTAAAATGTTTAAAAAGAGATACATTGGTGGCCCAGGTTAGGAAGATTTCTGAAAATAAAATATCACTTAAAAAGGCTACAAAAAGAATGTGAGACTAAAACAATAGTTAACAATATATCCACTAAGGCAGTGTAATTTATCACTGTCAAAAACACCCTCTCCCCTTTTGGGAGACCAACCAGAAACAGATTTGGACAAAATAGAACAGAATAAAAGCTCATGTATTTTTTATGACCTATATGTTTATCCTCCTTATTTGATGACTCAGTTATACAATAGCTATGTGAAATACATAGTGCCAGTAGAGATAACAGTCATGAATACACGTTCAAAAGTCAAAAAGCCAGTCTGAATTCAGGCTCTGCCATTTACAGCTGCCAACCAGGTTATTTAATTCTCTGTGCCTCAACAGTACAGACTTCACAGAGTTATTGTCAAGACTGTGAGACAATACATTTAAAGCCCCCAAAGAACCTTTTGTTATAATGAAGTTATCAAATCTGTAAAACACGTGTCCCTGATAATTACTCTTTATACTCATAAATGCTTCGGGAGGCAGGCACAGTTCAAGTCTTCACTACATAAAACACCTCTGTAAGTTTAGGTGGTCACACAATTTAATAGTGAGTCCATACTAAGTTCAAGGGACAACATTCAAACTCTTCCAAATCTGCACTTGATGATAAATTAGCAAAGAACAAAATTTAACAATTCTATCATTTTAACAAGCTATCTTGCAAACTCAAAAGCAACAAAAATGACAGTCATTAAGATGCACAGAAAAATTTCCAGAGCTATACCATTAATTTAAAGCAACAGGATAAAAGCACTATTTGGAAACCTACTTTGGATTTTATAGAGTACTCCGTGGCTTCACCTTGTTTATCACTTAAATTCTTAGGAGGTCACATTTAATTTTGAATAACCTCATCTTGAAAAATGTTTCAGATTCATTACAGTCTAAAACATTCTTGTACATTACATTTTCTTTCCAGTAATTTTATTTACTTATTTTTGGGGGAAGAATTATTACGTATGCTTACAAGAACTGGGGTAGAGACCAGAGGTGTAGGGGTGAGAGGATGCACCAGAGACAGGGTGGGGAGCAGAACAAGCAGATCTGCTGAAATACACTACTGAAGGGAGCAGGGGCAGGTCAGAAGAGGTCTGCTGTGCCATGTGGGTCACCTCCCTGGCCAGGAATAGAATTCATGCTGCAGTGGTTTCAGATAGCTTCACAATGCTGTGCTTTAACCCTTTGAGCCACCAGGAAGGGCCCCTCCAGTAACTTTAAATAAAAAAATTATCATTAGGGTTCTCCCTGGTGGCCCAAAGGGTTAAAGCACCACACTATGAAGCTCTCAGAAGCCATTGCAGTGCGAGTTCAATCCCCAGCCAGGGAGCTGACCCACATGGCTTGGCAGACCGCTCTCCCCTGACCTTCCTGTTGCTCCTCTCAGCCATGTACTTCATCAGTCTGCCTGTTCTGTTCCCCACTCAGTCTCTGATGAATCCTCTCACCCACCACGCCTCTGGCCTGTACCCCGGTTCTGTAAGCATAAATAAATCAACCTTTTAAAAAATCATTAATGAAATATTTTCCCTTTATTTAAACACCCAAGAAAAAATACCACTTTAAGTATTTTAATGAATCTTTAAGAAACGTCAGCACATTTACAAAAGTTTAAATATCTTGTACTGTCTGAAAGGTTTCCATTCCCAATACCCTATTTACCCATTATGCTGGGGATCAGAATTTAAAAAGTCCTAACTGACACAAAACAGTAAGAGTTAGTTAATCCAATATGAAAGCAGGAAACAAATTTAAAATACGTAGTACTTTCAAAGGACTACCAGACAACCAAAAGCAGATTTTTATGTATGCGCGACTAAAGCATCAGAAGAGAAAGTCATCTCATTTGAAAAGGTGGAGGCTTGACATTCTCAGTTTTCCCAGGTGGCAGCATTGATACTCAACTATCCTGTTTTCAAAATCTTTGAAGAAGATTTTGTTTTGTTTGTTGAAGCTGAAAATCTGAAGTTAAAAATCATTTTCCCTCCAAACTAAGCAGTCTGCATTATCTATTTTGAATTGTATTAGGTCACCTTGAAATCCTCTCCTCTGGGAAGCACTTGGAGCTTTTGGTCATCAAAATATTACCAATAATGCCCACACATCTTGCAGCCTCCTGAGGTTTTATGGCGCTCGCTAACAACAACAAAACCTACAACTTTCTCCGGGGTTCAAAGGCCAAAACAGAATGCTTCCAACTTCTCTGGGCCTGCATTCTCTCAAACACCTTGAGATCCCGTCTAGCGCTGCAGCTAAACAGCAGGCGCATGATCACAAGGCTTTTAACAGCCCCCAGATCCCCACTGCTGCACAACTTCTCCTAAGCGTTCTACGCACTAGACTGTTGACATCGCTGCATTAACCGCTTTACCTGTTTATTTACCGACCCAATCATCCCGGGGAGTTTAAGCCCTTCAAGCCGCCTTCCGAACACAAAGGTATCCCCCAGGTACTTTGCGTTAGAGCTACCGTGGAGTAAAACTTGACTTCTGAGGTTCATCCCCTGACCCAAATTGCTGTTCCAGGACATGCGGTAGTAATGCGGTGGTTTGAGACTGAGAATGTATTTCACAATCGAAATAATGTCTCCACTATAAATCCCCTTTAGTCTTCCAGATTTCTGCGGTAACAAGGCTTGACAGGAAGGTATTTTAAAGGACGAGAAGATGAGTTATCCTAATTTGGTCTTTATCCACCACCACCACCACCACCCCATGTTGGCCATCACAAGGACGCTTTTCCATCAATCTACAGCTGAAGAAAGAAAAATCCTTCTCCACTATCAAGGGGATGACCATTTGGGCACTAGTTAGCACACGCTTGCAAGGTCCACTAATCACTACGCTTCTTATCAACCTTCCTTCGAGGGAGGATTTGGGGTGAAGCTTCCACAGACCACAATCCTGTAACTTACGGGTTTCCAAGCCCAATTAACAGCCTAATAACAACAGCAACATTTACACTCGGGGGAAATCTCTACGTCTGACTAAGCAAGAAGGCGTGTGAGAGCTAAAGCATCCTCTGCCAGGCTGGGAGATGGAAAACAGACAATGAAAGAGGTTTATTTATTCCAGGCAGCAAAGGGGGTGCAGGACCCCAAGAAGAGCCGGCCCAAAGAGATCCGGGACACTAGCCCGGCGCCCTCCCAGCCCAAACCTCTCCCCCCCCCGGGGGGGCCAGTCTTGAGCCTCCACAGGCCCGTGGGGCAGACCCGTGGGGCGCACGCAGCCCCCCTCAGTCGCCAGGGGCTAGGGCTTCCGCTTTCGCAAGCGCAGAAAGAGCGAAGCCGCCAACCCGGCCGGCCGAGTTTGAGACGCAGGAGAACAGAGGATGAGGGTGATGCGGCCTCGCTCAAGCTGGGAGGCCCGGGAGGAATCGGAGGCAGGCGAGAAGCCAGCCGGTGCGTACGCCGGAGCAGAGCCTGGAGGGGAAAGGGGCCGGGCGGGGGGGTAGAGGGGGTTCCGGCTCGCCAGCGCCTTCCCCGGATCCTCGGCGACGCCCGTGTTTACCTGAAAGTCTCGGTCCTCGTTGAAGCGGGAGAAGCGGTCCGCCATTTTGCCGCCTTCACTCCTCTCAGGACGACGCTCTCCGGTTCGCTCCTTCCCTCCGCGACACCCGCCCCCTCGCTCCCCTCCCCTGTTCCCCGCCTACTCCCACGCCCACCCGGCGCGCGCAGGCGAGGAGAAAGGAGGCGAGAATGCGCGTGAGACGGGAGCAGCGCCAGCGCAGGCGCCTTCCAGCCCTGGAGGCGGAACCGGCCTCGCGACTCCGTCCCGCGCGCGGCCCTGAGCGACCCCGGCGGGCGCGCGTGCGCAGTGGCCCGGAGGCCCAAGCGCTTCCGGAGAGAAAGGTCACGGCGGCCGCGGGCGCCGAGTCCGCAGGCTGTTCGCCTGCGCTGTTCCCTAAGTACGCTGTAGTTCTTGTTTGATTCATGTGTTGGAAAGCCCGTCCTTGGCTTTATTCACCAAATAACAGCATAACGTGTCTGCGGAAAGCGCGGATTTTAGGGCCAGATTACGTTCGTTTTGCCTCCCGCTTCTCCCGATGGATTAAGAGGTGACTGAGCCCAGAAAGTTACCTCGCTCCTAAGACTTACCTTCCTGGGAAACCCACAAAATGCCTTCCTGCGTGCATAATATAGCTACGTCATTTTATATGTTAATGGATGCTAGAGGGGAAAACAACAACCCGGGTGCAGTGGGAAGAGGGACCATTGGCTTGGGGGTAACGAGAGGGAGTCTGCAGCCTTGGGAAGGCAGGAGCGTTAGAACCAAAGGGCCGGTGACTGCCAAGAACGTGACGTTTTCAAGCAATATCTTGAGTGTTTCTTGGGAGACCAACGTTGATCCTAATCAAATAAAGTTCCCTTTTTATAAACTAAGGAAATTGAATTTGGTATTCTCTACTGTTCCTGCTCAGCACCGACTTTGTGAGATTATGAATCAGATTTTTACCATCCTATGGCCTTCCTGAGGAACCCACCCAACTTTCTTAGCCAAAATATATAGAACACATAAGAGCAGAAGGACTTCCCTGCTTTTGGAAAGAGTAGTTGACAGAAATCATGTCATGGAAAATGCCCTAATCCTACTGTGAGAAAGTCAAATGGAATGTGATTTTTTGGAGAAAGGGTGTGTATCTTCTGTTGTTAACAGCTTGCAGTAACAAACCCCAGTCCAAGCAGAACATCGTTCTAAGCAGTAAAGAGTTCCCTACCTAAAGGCAGACACTCATCATTTAAATATTGTGGAGACTACAAGATAAATGTTGCAACTGAACCACACACTTACACTCCACACTTCTTCAAACACCACCCAGAGGATGAGAAGGGCACATAAACAGAGGGCACGTGAACAGAATCCTGGAGAAGAAACAAGAGCAGACAACAGATGTCAATATTTTGGACGTTGGAGAATATAGATAAATGCACATGGTTTTAGTAGAAGAGAGAAAGCTAAGTCTTGGGGTGAGGAAGGTAGGAAACAAATCGATTTATACTGAAGTACCTCAGAAAGGCTCAGGAATGGGAATGACAGGTTCTGGTGATGGTGAGAGTGTAGGCAGGGCTGAAAACAGGAGGGCTGATTACCAGGCACCTTAAGAAGCTGTAAATCTGCCAAATCTAAACTTCCCAACCAGGTAGCAAGCTGGACAGTTCCCTTTTGGAGAGGCTGAGAGCCAGAGAGACTTTAAATATCTCTTAACGGCTAAGGAAGGGGCACCCTACTGAAAATGGTAAGATTTGGTAAAAGTCATCTCAGAGAGTGAGACTTCAGCAGGAGACCACAGGATTCCTTTCTGGCAAATTGACCTAGTTGGGGGGAAAAAAACCTGCCCATAACAAAAATGGGAGTGGGGGTGGGGCCTCCCCCAAATAAAGGTCATGCTCCTCCCCAAAATAACCCACGGAGAATTTTATCTTTCAGAAACCCCCCCATCCTTAGGTAGTCAAGCATTATCAGACATGTGAAGGAAACCTCTAATAAGAAATAGAGATGCCCGCACCCCAACACTAAACAAAGACACAGAAAAAGGAATTCAGAGAAACCAGAGCAAAAGAATTATAGTCATCAGGATAAAAGGGACCACTTCATGGATCACAGAATGTCAAAGAAGGAAAAATATTCAGAAATTAAGAGGGGGGCCCTTCCTGGTGGCACAAAGGGTTAAAGCGCAGCACTATGAAACTGTCTGTCTGTAGCCACTGCAGCGTGAGTTCAATCCCAGCCAGGGAGCTGACCCACCTAGCGTGGCAGACTCTCCTTGTCCTGCCGGTTACTCCCCGCAGCAGTGTATTTCAGTAGATTTGCCTGTTCTGTTCCCCATTCTGTCTCTCATGAATCCTCTCACACACACCCCTCAACCTCTGGCCTAGACCCCAGTTCTTATCTGCATAAATAAATAAGCCTTTACAAAAATAAAGAAACTGTATGTTGTAGTCAAGATGCTATAGGAGACATGAGATGAACAGGACAAGATTTATTCACACCTTGGCATCAGGTAAACCTGGATTTCAGACTCGACTTTTTTTTTTAAAGATTTATTTATGCATACAGAACTGGGGTACAGGCCAGAGGTGCAGGGGTGGTGAGAAGATTCACCAGAGACAGAGTGGGAAGCAGAACAGACTTACTGTCGAAGTACACTGCTGAGGGGAGCAGCGGGCAGCGAGCCAGGAGAGGTCTGCTGCACAGTGTGCTTCACCTCCTGGGTGGGGATCAAACTCATGCTGAAATGGCTTTAGCTTCTTAGTGCTTTAACCCTCTGTGCCACCAGGGAGAACTATGAGACTCGGCTTTGTCCATACAAATAGCCCTGTCTGTAGTAAATAAATATAATGATACAAGAGATGATACACGAACATTTTACAGAATTGAAAGACCGAGAGTTGACTCTAACCAAGTACTACGCTAGACATTTTACACAGGTTATCAAAGTAATTTCCATCACTCCAAGAGGCAGGAAGACTGATTATCTCCATTTTACAGATGAGAAAATGGCCTTAGAGAAAAGAGTTACTCTGGTTTCTGGAGCTATGAAGAGTAGAGGCAGGTTGGGTGACTGGTCAAATCCCTGAGTGCTCAAATTTTTTTCCTTTCCCGATTATCTGGAAGAGTGAAATTCACCTCAGGGTTATTGAAGGATAATGGTAGCTGTCATGTAAAGTGCCCAATTGTCCCTGGCTATTATAATCTGATAGATTTTATCATGAGTATATGATGATCAAATTTTTTTAATTTTATAATACACCACTATAATTGTCATGCTCAAATTGTTCCATATTTAGTCACGTAGAGAAGTTGTTCAATATTTTAAAATTTTATCCTTTACCTAACCACTTTTGAGAGCTTACTCTGTGCCATATACCATTCTAATTGCTTGACATGACTCCAGCCAGTGCTCACAATTGCCCCCCAGGAAGTAGGTACAGGAATCACATTTGCAAGGAAACAGACGTGAATTTGCCCAAGGTCATACTGGTAGGTACAAGTGGACCCTGGATTCAAACAGGGTCCTCCTGACCCCAGAGCCCCATATCTCCCTCTGCTTCCTGCCACCAGACTAGACAGCTGTCCAGTAGGAAGTGGACTGGGAAGAGAGCAGCTCTGGAAAGGCTGAAGTGATCGGCTGATGGCAGCAGGATAGGAGGGGGCAGAGGGCACCGAGGAGGCCCCCTTTCCCTTCAGGCCTCTCCACCCCCTTGCTTACCCAAATTTAGACTCTTTAGTTAACACGGGTGGGACTGAACCCCCAGCCTGCACAAGTACAGGTTTAGTAAGAGTGATAGAAGGATAAGTAGGAGAGGAAAACCACCTGTTTCCTCTACCCTTCTACATGCTCCACTGGACCCTGTAACAAAAGATTCATAAGAAAAAGCCACACACATTTACTTAGTAAAAGTTTTTATTTTTTTAGTTTCATTTTTTAAAAAGATGCATTTATTTATGTATACAGAATTGGGGTACAGGCCAGAAGTGCAGGGGCGGTGAGAGACAGAGTGGGGAGCAGAACAGGCAGATCGACGAAGTACACTGCTGAGGGGAGCAGCGAGCGGGTCAAGAGAGGTCTGCGGCGCCATGTGGCCACCTTCGGGGCAGGCGGGAATCGAACTCATGCGAAAGTGGCTTTAGCTTCTTAGTGCTGTGCTGTAACCCGCTGTGCCACCAGGGAGGGCCCTAGTTTCATTTTTTAAAGATTTATTTATTCATGCATATAGAACTGGGGTACAGACTGGAGATGCAGGGAGTGAGAGGATTCAGCAGAGATAAAGTGAGGAGCAGAACAGGCAGACTGATGACAAAGCACACTCCTGGGCCCTCCCTGGTGTTGCAGTGGGTTAAAGCACATCACAAAGCATACCACTGAGGGCAGTAGCAGGCAGGACAGGAGAGGTCTGCCAGGCCATGTGGGTCAGCTCCCTGGCATGGATCAAACTCATGCTGAAGCAGCTGTGGTTAACTTAGTTGCACCATCAGGGAGGGCCTTCTTTTTCTTTTTACTTAACAAAAGTTTTAAGTGACATGCAGACTTCATAAAGAAGACCCAAAGAAATGGTGAAAGCCCGAGCAGTGTTATAGGCTAGATTTGATAAAGAGTGGAAAGTTTTAGAAAAATAAGCCAGGACATAGAATATGAACTAAGTATAGTAATCTGGGAGAAACTCAGTAAGACCTGTTAGTTCAGATTCCCCTCTGTGTCCCTTGGTCTTCAGAGATAAAGATGCTCCTTTCTTCTGGCTATATGGAGGGATCCTCTCACCTGAGGGCAGTGTGACCTGCTTCAGGAGGAGATCAGAAGGTTTTTTCTGATATGCCATGCTCTCAAATTCCATGGGCTTGAAGTATTCAATAGGTCAAGGCACCATATTTGAGGATCACGTGTCCTGAACCCCATCAGCTGAAGCCTGCATATCTTGGAAGACACAAACAATAGCTTGCTTTATTTATTTTTACATGGGGGAGATGGAGCGGCGGGGAGATACCTTGTTTTTCTATGAAGTCAGATATTTTACTCCTTTTCTATGATGGAGAGAGGCAGCTGGGATGGTGGACCAAGAGCTGTCTTTGTTTGGACTTTGTGGCCAGTCACCTAGAAAGTCTGGGCTTCAATGTGTGGGAAGGAGCAGGCCTGAGGGGCTATT